CTGCTGAGATTACAAAAATAAAAGTGTAAATCCACCAAATTTTCTACTTTCCCATATCTATCAAGATGTCTTCCCCTAGAGGCTGCCCATCTTATTTTATTTACAGGACTGGATTGAAGATAATACCTCAAGTTATCACTTTGTATTTTAATCTCAAAACTGCATTTCAGAAGCGGGGCATGGTAGCACTTGAACTGGCCAGCCTAGTCTACTAAGCGAGTACCAGGACAATCAGGCTGTCACACTGAGAGACCCTGTCAAGAAAGAACAAAAGGAAAAAAAAAAAGAAAAGAAAGAAAACTGCATTTCAGGTCAACCTCCAATCTGACTATCAGTCCAGACCCTGGCTCTAAAGATAGTGGGATGCCCTTAAAGACCTGTAATTCAACTACCCATAGAGAGCAGAGCTGGTAACCTCTAAGAGCTGAGAGCAACTGCAGCTCTAAATGTTCTTTAGGGAAATCGCCTACAATCTACAGGACTCAGGTCCTTTCCAGAACTCAAAGACCACACAAGGGAACTTGGAAGTAGTTCAGGTAAGAACCATCAACTTAGAGGTAGAAACTGCCTATGTGCCAGATTTCAGGAATTTTAATTTAAAAAATATCTGGATGTAAGTGGGGAATACTGTGACTTTCTTATGACCCCATTATTTGGGGGATGAGGGGGTCAGCAAGACCAGGAATTCAAAAACAGCCTTGACTACATGGCTGAATTTGAGGCCAGTCTGGTCTACACTGGGCAGTGATTGAGCAAGTCTTTAATCCCAGCAGAAGCAGATGATCAAGTTCGAGGTCAGCCTAGTCTACAGATTGAGTTACAGGACAGCCAGGGCTACAGAGAAACCCTGTATCGAAAAACAAACCAAAATTGTAATAATTTAAAAGAAAAAAAAAAAAGGAGCCGGGTGGTGGTGGTGGTGCACGCCTTTAATCCCAGTACTGGGGAGGCAAAACCAGGCGGATCTCTGTGAGTTGAGGCCAGCCTGGTCTACTGAGCAAGATCCAGGACAGGCACCAAAAGTACACAGAGAAACCCTGTCTCGGGGGGAAAAAAAAAAAAAGGTAAAATACTACAGAATATTTAAAAAGTATGTTTTGTTGTTTTTTGAGGAAAGGTCTATGTAGCCCAGAAACTCCCAATGTAGACCAGGCTAGCCTAGAACTTTCTTTCAAGTGATGGAATTAAAGGTGTACACCACCCCACCCACCCTGGCTATTTAAAGTATTAATAGTCCTTTTAACTAAGCAACTGAGTGAATTCTTTATCCCAAGGAAATGAAACTTAAAACACTTAATCGCCTCAAAACAACGAGAAGACTTGTATAAAATAGTTTCCTAGGCTTGCTGATTTTTGCTTGTTTTTTGTATGGGAAGCTCTAGTTTCTAAACTGAATGGGCTGAAGTGACTAGGTTTTATTTGATGCTTTCCTGAAAGATAAAGTTGGGGCCATAAAATCCAAAGGGGCGGACAATCTCTGATAGTAGCTGCTTGGGGGAAGAGATGTGTTTTTAAAAATTATTTAAGAGTTAAGACAACTCTAACCTGCCATCTCTGAAACCTAAATAAAGCAAAAGCAAAACAAAACCAACTCAGATTCTAACTCCAGCACCTTAAAATAGAAAAACACTTTTCTGGACACAGCAAAAAATACTAGTACTAGGTAAAGCTTCCTAGTATTTACAGCAGGCCTAACGTGGTGGAAAAAAATGGCCATTTGAGAGCAGCACGACCTGCCCTCTCCCTAACAGGCCCTCACTACCCAGGGTGCAAAAGATGCCCACCTCGGGCAAGGCCGTCGGGCTCCACCGAGGCTGACCCGGGCTTCCCCGGAGTCTCAGGGCCCCTGAGGCCTTCACGTGGCCCAAAGTCCACGCCCACTGGGCCCGGTCCGGGCCTGCGGCGCGCAGTGTTTTCTCTTCGCGGGCTCAGGGTCTTCCGCGTACGGTCGGCGAAGTGGCCGAACGGCGCGTCCCAGCCCCAGAGAGCCCCGCGCCGGCAGTGCGGACCCTAAGGCCTGAGTAGGCCGGGACCGCCGTGCCGAGGGAGCCAGTCAGGCCGGCCGGGGCCTGCATGACACAGCACCATCTTGCCCAGGCTCCGACCCGGGCCCAGCGCGGGCCCGACCTAGGGGGCGCGCGGGTGCACAGCCCGGCCCGAGGCCCTCACTCGCCCCTTTCCTCCCCTTCCGTCTCTCTCCTCCCGGCCTAGCCTCTCAGACGCGGCCCTGCCGGGCCTAGCCAGCGCGGCGGATCCCACGGAGCGCGCCGCCGCGGCCGGCGGGCGGGCGGGCGGGCGGCCGTGCGCGCGCATATACTCACTCGGCTCCAGAGGCCATGGCGCGCGCCTGTCCCGGTCGGCGGCTGTGGCGGCCTGAGGGTAACGGCTACGAGAATGGCAGGCGACCGGCTAGGCCCGGGTTGGACTCACTCAGGCGGTGGATCAACAGCAGTGACAGACCCTCAGGCAGCCTCCCTCTCGCTTCCTCCCAGCGGCACCGGGGCGGCAGGCGGGCGGGAGACGCTAGCTCCTGATCCGCGAGGGGGGCAGCGGCAGCGACTAATCAAACGACGGCTGCAAACGCTTCACTGAGACTGAGCCGAGAAGAGCCGAATCATCGGAAGGAAAGCTGCTCTCATCTCAACCAATCAGCGCCTGCCTTGGGACTCGTGCCCGCCTCTCCGTGCCTCTCCCCAGCAACCCGCAGACCACAACCAATCAGAAAATTCGTCTGTGGCCTGACCCCGCCTCAAGGCTGCAACACGCCTAGTAACGCCACGTCAATTGGCCGCAGCACTACGCTTCCTCGACGGATTGGGGTCCTTGACCAATCAGCAAAAGGAATCGGCCAGATCGTCTGGTAAAAGAGCCTTTACTCCCCCCCCCGCCCCCCCCCCCGGGGGAGGCCTCTCCTACTTGGCTCCAGTTGATTGGTTCCTTAGTTTATAAGCTGCTGGAAGAACCTGGCACAATGGCCTGAACCCTGATTACTTTAGTCGGGTTGTAATGATAACCCACGTAGTCCATTCCTCGCCAATCCTGGGGATCCTCTTACTCCACTGCACTAACCCTCCGTGCTCCTTTAAAACACTGACTCCAACGAAGGGCGTGGTGGACGGGCTAGGTCTGTAATCCTAGCAGTTGGGAAGCAGAGGCTGGAGAATTATTAGTTGGATATAAACTCAGGATACCGGATCTTTTCTGAAAAACAAAACCCGGTCGGGCGTAGTGGCGTAGATCTATAATCCTAGCGTCAAAACAGTATCTCAAAAATAAAATTTTAAAGCAGTGTGGTGGCACGTTTTTAATCTCAACACTTGGGAGGCAAAGGCAGACGGATCTCTGTTCTATGAGTTTTACATCAGCCTGGTCTATAAAAAAGAGTTGCAGCCAGCCAGGGCTACATAGTGAGACCTTGTTTCAAAACTAAGTAAATATAATTTTTAAAAAAAGCAAAATCAGCTGGGTATGGTGCTGTTTACCCTAGATCCCAGTACACCACAGGCTTTAAAAGCAGGAGGGTTGAGAGTTCGAAGCCAGCTGGTGCTACATAGCTAGACTAGGTCTACCAAAAAACACTAGCTCTAGCCACCCTTCTCTGGACCCTAGTTCTGAATCAGCAGCACCCCAGCTTAATCCACTCTGTTGACATTGCACTCTCCTAACTAATCCCTCAAGTTTTACAATTTCTCCAGGTTTGGGAGTACACACTCCCTGCTATAGTGTATTAAATATTATCTGGGGAGGAAGAACACTCGGGTTCAAAGAGATCAAGGGCATTTGCAGAACACATAGCAAATTCAGCAGTGCCTAAGGGCAAGAAAACCAACCACAGGCTCTGACTTAAGGTCCTTGGGCCCCAAAAGACAATTAATTGGCTCTCATTGTAGTCAACAGACTGTTAGCTCCCAGTGGCATCCTGATTCAATTCACCCTTCACCTCCTACCCACACAGACTGACCTGAGACAGTTTGTTTCTAGATATGGAACTACTCTGAGGAATATCTCATTTTTCTTGTGATTTTTGAGACAGCCCTGGCTGTCCTGGAACTCACTATGTAGAACAGGCTGGCCTCAGATTCCACCTGCCCCCGCCTCCCGAGTGATGGGATTAAAGTGGCATACCACTTCTTAAGTATCATGTACCCACGCTTCCCTAAGAGGCCTGTCAAGATCATTCTTCAGACCAACTTCATTCACTCTGTCACCTACCACAGATTCCTGGGCTTTCAGATAACAAAGCTGGAGAGATGGCTCAGTGGTTAAGAGAGTGTAACTGCTCTTCCAGAGAACACAGGTTGGATTCCCAGCACCCATGTCAGGTGGTTCACAACCTCCTGTAACTATAACTCTGAGGGACCCAACGCCTCTGGCCTCCAATGGCACCCACACACGTATAGATGGCATACACACACAATATTTAAAACAAGTAATTAAAATTTTTAATAATTTTGAAAGGACTATGTCACTGCTTCCTCACAAGGATTAACGTAGCCTTTTCCTCATGCTCATACCTTGAGCTCTTAAGATAGATAGTGGGGGTTGGGTGAGGGATAGGGAGGGACTGGGGACTTATATGTGAGGAACTGGAGTTCAGTCCCCAGAATCCGACCTTCCAAAAAGAAAGTGGGAGGGAAGAGGGGACCTGGGAGGCAGGGAAGGTAGACGAAAGTTAGATGTTGGGAAGACAGCATCTTAAATAACCAACACCCAACTAGTCTGCCATGACTCTTCTCATTCAACCATGTGTAATAAGCAGATAATAGGTAAATACGAGATTTTACTCAACACATATACCCAAAAAAAAAAAAAAAGAAAAGAAAAGAAACAGGAAACAAGTGTCATGACTGAAGTCAATGATTTGTTCATGGACCTGTTCTGGAACTAGACTGGCAGCAAGGAGACAAGCTCACAAGACCGGCAACCTCAGCAGTGGAGAAGTGACTTAGGAACAATCAGTCCCAGCCATATTATCCAAAGAGGATAAGGGAGGAAAAAACCCTCCCCATGGAGATGGTCCACAGGGGCCCAGCTCAAGCTCCAGGAAACAAGGAAGCTACGGGTCATGAGACTCCAGCAGAGATGTTCCAAACTCCTCAAGGAGAGCTTCACAGTTAGGGGGATGGATCCAGCTCAAACAGGTTTCTAAATACAGTGGAAGAGACCTGAAAAGCAAGAATGGTGGTGCCTAAGAGTGCAAGACAGACATAGGTTTGACATCCTTCCTTCCTTCTGTTCCTCAGCACCTCCACGACAGCATTCCAACTCCTCCCCAGCCCCAAGCCAGGAAGACTCAGCCTTACCAGGTAGCTTCTTCCCGTGGTGCTTGAGTTTGGGCCTCCTGCCAGAAAGCAGTGGCCTCATTCTTCCGTTTCAATCTTTTCAGAGTCTGAAGCAGGTAAAAGGAACCATCTCTATTGCCTATAGCCCCCGCAAAACACCAAGACTTAGAACCTGATATAGCCTTAGACCTAGAGAGAAGTAGCATCTTGACTACACAATACATGAAACCAAAACTAGATTATTCATAACCATACTCTCCCAGAAGCCACTGCCTGCCCAGTACAAAATGTTCAACTGACCCTGTTCCTATAAAGCCATCCCCACACAGGCCAGATCTTTGTGTCTGAGGACAACAGAGAGACCAGGGAACTCTTCGGAGCCTTGCATACTTGTTTGTTTGTATATGCACACATGGTTACCTTCTGATAATACAGTATAACCCTATCCAGTCTTCCTATCTGGGCATATCATTCTTACATGGTGGTCCAAGTACCACTCCTCCTGTACAAGGCCAACGTCATGCAAATGTACTTACCTGGGCATATCTGTACACTAAGGAGGAAGTCACTTAAGGCTCTGGTATCCTGGCCACTTGCTGCCCATTCTAGCCCACGACTAAGCAGAGCAGCTACTTGAAGTTGTTTCAGTACCACATCAGGCCTACACTTCTGCTCACAGCTGGAGCCTGCACCTAGAGACCACCACCAAAGTCAACAAGTATCTTCCCGTCATCCCAGATAAACACTCACCAAACCTCCAAGTCCCCTTCTCCTCCTATCCTCCCCAACTTTTTTTTTTGGAGACAAGGTCTCACCACATAGTCCTGGCTGACTCAGAACTTACTATGTAAATCAGGATGGCCCCAAACTCAGAGATCTACCGGGTGGAGTGCTAGGATTAAAGGTATGTGCTACCATGCCTGGCATGTCCCCCTAAGTCTCCCAGTCTGGTGGACTGGAGTACAATGGGAAGAAAACCCACACACCACTTTCAGGAGCTAAGAAAAACTGACATCTAAATTAGAGTCAGGCACAGTTCAAACATCTATATTGTCAACACTTGGGAGGCAGAGGCAAGAGGAACAGGAGTCCAAGGGCACCCTTGACTAAAATGGTAAACTTGAGGCCAGCCTAGTCGATACGAGAACCTGTTTTATAAAAAAGAAGAGAAAGGAAAAGAGAAAAATTAAAAAAAAAAAATCAGCCAGGCGGTGGTGGTGCACGCCTTTAATCCCAGCACTTGGGAGGCAGAGCCAAGTGGATCTCCGTGAGTTCAAGGCCAGCCTGGTCTACAGAGTGAGATCCAGGATAGGAACCAAAACTACACAGAGAAACCCTGTGTCGAGGGAAAAAAAATTAAATCACCTTGTTCTTTGTCCTCAGGCAGGGCCCGAAAGAGCAGCTCAAGGCACCTGAAGTGGGATATAAATAGCAGGAATAAAGAGCTGACCTCCGAAATTAAGGTAACTACTAAGAATAAAGTCCACCAATCAAGGTCCCAAGCAGAAAGCCATCCTTCCACCATCCCCTACTCTGTCTTCCCAGACTCACTCGCTAAACTCACTAAGTGCCTCTTTTTGAGCCTTTAGTTGTGACCAGGCCTGGCCCTGAAGCAGGTGGGTAGCAGAGACCCAGATTGGGCAGTATGGCAGTTCTTTGGTTCTTTTTCTGGCATTTTCCCACAAGGACATCTTGGGAAGCAGAGATGAAGTTCGGCGGAGCAGCTCCCCACATACAGTCAAAGCATCTGGGGCTCGGCCTGCCTGGATCAACGCTGCCGCCGCCTCCAGACACAACTCTGGTATACAAGGCCCTGGAGAGGAGGCGGGCGGGGAGAACTGCAGGGAGAGGGGCAGTGTCATGAAGTGGCATGAGCCACCACTCCTGAGCTCTTCACCAGGCTCCAGTACCACGCAGAGAGAACTGATCCCTCAGGGAGACCAATGAAGTGCGGGGAGAGGGGTCCCAACCCACCCACCTAACCGCAAAGAACCTAAAACACACCTACCCTCGGCTCTGAGCCACCCAGCAACATGGCCAGCAGGTCCAAGTAATGCTCTGCAGCATCTTCTGCCCTGGAGAGTCAGTCAGCCCGTGAGTTTCACCAAGGACCCTGGCACCCCATAAAGGTTCCAGTGAGAATACTCTCTTGGCTAATGAGGGATGCCTTGGGCCCTGAGGTGTAAAGTGGGGAGCAGGGCTTGGGAGCTCCAACCCTGGCTCAGTATAGATCCATCCCATTTCAGGATGGATGGGGTAGGCTACATCAGCATTTCAAACAGAAGACATTACCGTCTGGATGGGGACTTCTCCGTTAAAGCCCCGCTTTAAGGCAGGAAGCTATGTCTTGCCCAAGCTTTAGCACAGGAATAAGCAATCTCACAAGAGAAGCATGGGGTCTGGGGAACACGGTTCAGTGGATGAAGTGCTTGCTATGCACATATGACGAGTTAGAGCTCCGGTACTCCTGTAAAAACCCACACAGCAATACACTTCTTTTTTGGTTTCTCTTTGTAGCACCAGCTGTCCTGGAATTCCCTCTGTAGACCAAGCTGGCCTTGAACTCACAGAGATCCACCTGCCTCTGCCTCCGGAGTGCTGGGACTAAGGGCATGCACCACCACCTCCCCAGCCACCACCAACACCACCAGGCTACAAAATACATTTTTAACCACAGCACTGGGGTGAGGGAGGAGTCAGAGACAGGCAAGTCACAAGGTTTCACTGGCCTGCCAGTCTAGCCAAAACTAGTGAGCTCCAGGTTCACTGAGAGATCCTGTCTCAAGAAATATAGTAGATAGCTGGGCAGTAGTGGCGCACGCCTTTAATCCCAGCACTGGGAGGCAGAGCCAGGCGGACCTCTGTGAGTTCGAGGCCAGCCTGGTCTACAGAGTGAGATCTAGGACAGGCACCAAAACTACACAGAAAAACCCTGTCTCGGAAAAAAAAAAAAAAAAAAAGAAAAGAAAAGAAATATAGTAGATAACAATAGAAGACATCTAATGTCAATCTCTAGCTTTCACACACCCCAGAACAGGCAAGTGGAAGCTCTCCCTGACGCATGCACAGGTATACCACACATACCAAAAATAAATAAAATTTTAGAGAGAGAGAGAGAGAGAGAGAATCGCATGCCCAGCAAAAGCATCAGAAGTGGGAAGAGGGATTCTGATGAGCAGTGGGAAGACTCACCTCCCTGTCTGTAGACATCGGCTTGCTAGCAGGTGCTTGGCCTGGCTCTGTGTGCCACAGTGAAGAGGAGAGGCTGGGTCAGGTTGTGGAAGTAGCAATTCTACCTCAATGAGAAGTTTGAGCATTTCAGGACTATGAGTGGCACTCAAGGCCTAAAAAGAACAGAAAGAATTTATATCTTTGAGAACCACACATCTGAGTACTTCTGTCTTGATGAGTCATCCCAACACAAGCGCCTGAGCAGTCCTCTACAAGGTGTCTCCACCTGGAAGCTCCTCACCTCAACCAGCAGCTCCAGACTCTCCAGCTCAGCTGCTGTGTCTCCTAGTTGTCGATATATTCTGGAAGCCTCCAGAAGAGGAAAGGCACAGGTTGTTCCCACCTTCAGGGCAGCAGTCAAGTACAACAGCGCTCTCTGTGGATTTCCCTATATGAGGGGAAAGATACAAGCCTTAGCTACCCTGACAAAGCATGATGTCCATGGTTTCCCCCAATCCCTAAGGCTTTATCTTTACCATCTTACGGAGACAGGTCCCCAGCGCTGTGTACACCTGGACTAACACAGATGGTGGACACAGGCCTGAGGCTGCTTCATGCAAGCTGTTCAGTGCACGGGGTAGGCTCCCTGTGATAAGCTCCTGGAGGCCTGGAGGCAATCACGGTACAGGCTTAGAAAAGCTCGTAAGGTAGGAAGCATTATGGGAACAACAACTTAGAGGAACTCCACGGAAATACAGAGAGCAGAAGCCCAGAGGACCCTTTAGGGAAAGAAGGGATAGATCAGGTTGCTAGACCTTGGCGGCAGGCAAGTGCTGTCAAAAGGACATCCCGCAAACCCTGAGCATCCTGCAGAATCAATGGGGCATCTGACTTCTCAGCCGGAGGGCTCCAGGATTTTAGCAGTAGTAGCAGATCCTCAGAGGTCTCAGTCTGGAGAGAGAAGGACAGTCAGAGGCTCTCATCTGCAAGCACCCCGTCTTCTCCTGTCAGTCTGTCCCACCCAGTCTTTGAGCCCAAGAGTCCTTCTGATTACTGTTCCCCCATTATAAGAGAAAGATAACTGTGGGGCAATGGTGTGGGCAGGAAGGAAAGTCCTAGAAAGTGCTGACTGAAGTTCCCTGTCACTCATATGCCCAGGTGGACATGGGACAAGGAATGTGTCTGGGTTACTATGAGAGGACTGAGCCTGGGAGGCAGCTTTAGCACTCATGGAGCCTTATCCTGACTTGGATTTATGAAGCAATTTTTTAAACTGCCCCCAAGAAAACCCCCAATGAGGAGCTACAGAGCAAGGTCTCAAAAAAACTGGTTTGGTTTTTTGCTTGTTTGTTTGTTTTTGCTCCTTTTGACAACCATCATAACAGCCTTCCCAGCATGGGATGGTGTAGGCTGAGAACAGTGGTGTAGGCCTGCTATCCGAGGGACTCAGACTCCAGGACAGGGGTTCTCAAGTTCCTAATGCTCTGACCCTGTAATACAATTCCTCGTGCTGTGGACCCCCCAACCATACAATTATTTCGTTGCTTCTTCGCAACTGTAATTTTGCTACTGTGATGAATCGCAATGTAAATATCTATGTTTCTGATGGTCTTAGGTGATCCCTGCGAAACGGTCATTCGACCCTCAAAGGGGTCATGATCCACTCCCAGGTTGAGAACCACTGCTCTAGAAGCTAAGGCAAAAAGGATCACAGGTTCAAGATCTTTTTTTTTATTTTTTTAAGATTTATTTATTTATTGTGTATACAGTGTTCTGACTGCACACATCCCTGCAGGCCAGAAGAGGGCGCCAGATCTCATTACAGATGGTTGTGAGCCACCATGTGGTTGCTGGGAATTGAACTCAGGACCTTTTTTGGAAGAGCAGCCAGTGCTCTTAACCCCTGAGCCATCTCTCCAGCCCAGGTTCAAGATCTTGAATCCAGGCTATAGAGTAGCCTTGGCGACAAGTAAGTTCAAGGCTAGACTTGACAACTTATTAAGGTTCTACCTCCAATTAAAAAGTAATGAGAGTTGAGAGCTGGGTGTGGTGGTTCACAGCTGTCAATCTCAGCATCGGAGAGGCTGAGGCAAGGAGCACTGCAATAAGTTTGCAGCCTGGGTACACAGTAAGGGCCTGTCTCAAAAACAAAGAGGGAGACCTGTCACGGTGGTGCACTCCTCTAATCCCAGCACTTAGAGGAGGCAGAGGCAGGTAGATCTTTGTGAATTTGAAACCACAACCAGCCTCGTCTATGTTGAGAGCTAAGGCTACATAGTGAGACCCTGTCTCCAAAAAAAGTGTGTGTGTGTGTGTGTGTGTGTGTGTGTGTGTGTGTGTGGGTTGGGGAGTGGGAGAGGTGGACTGCAGAGATGGCTTAGAGGTTAAGAGCACCCGTTCTTACAGAGTAACCAAGTTTGGTTCCCAGCATCCACATGGTGGCTCACAACTATCTGTAACTCCAGTTACAGGGGATCCTACACCCTCTTCTGACCTCTCCATGGGTACCAGACATGAACATAGTACACATATATGTATGTAGGTCAAACACTCATAAACACAGAAATAAATTTTCTTCACAAGTGGGTAGGAGAGAAGGATGGAAAAAGTATCTCAGTGGTAGAGTGCCTGCCTAGGATGTCTGAAGCCCTAGGTAAATAGTGCAGCTACGGGGAAGAGCGGAGAGTAAGCACTTTCATCTTCATTTTCCTGGTTACCTGGCTGCCATTGAGGGCTTGCAAGAGCAAGGCCAGGTCCCCCGGGTGGTCAGTCCTCATCCAGAGGATAGCTTGAAGGCTGGCCAGGCAGTGTAAGGTAGGTAGCAGCTCCGGCAGAAGGGAGGAAGCAGAAAGCACAGAGTGCCACAGCTCCTGGAGTCCCTGCTGTGACTTTGGCTCCAGCTGATTCTGGGTCTCCATCACTGTAGAACACACACACACACACACACACACACACACACACACACACACACACATACATCTATCTCTCATCTCCCCCACACCCTCTGGTTTTTCCTTTCTTAAAACTCCCAAAGATGGGGCTGGAGAGATGGCTCAGAGGTTAAGAGCACTGCTTGTTCTTCCAAAGGTCCTGAGTTCAATTCCCAGCAACCACATGGTGGCTCACAACCATCTGTAATGAGATCTGGCGCCCTCTTCTGGCCTGTATGCATACATGCAGGCAGAACACTGTATACATAATAAATAAATAAATCTTTAAAAAAAAAATTAAAAAAAAAAAAAAAAAAAAACTCCCAAAGATTACAATACACCTGGTCTGAAGAACATACAGAGGACGAGAAAAGGGCATCCGTCTCAGTGGAGATGACAGGTTTTGTGCCTCTCACCCCCCTACCCCATCCCCCACCCACACACACCCCTCAAGCCTCACCCCTAAATCCAGACTGGAACTGCCAGGGGCATGGGAGGCCTTACCTCTCTCTAGGCCCCTTTGAACATCCTTGATAAGGTCTTCAGTGAAACCCTGGGCCAGGCTAGCCCTCAGGATTATATAGTTACAGATGACCGTCAGCTCCAAGGGGAGAGCAGGAAGAGCAGCAGGGAGTCCTGGAGCGACAGATGCTGGTCTCACAGGCTGTCCCGTGAAATACGGCCCAAACGGTTTCCAATCCAGAGATCAACCCCACTCCAACCAAGATGCCTTCAATAAGGAATTCATCTTTTGTTCAGAAACTTGGAAAGAACAAGTTCTTGAAATCTCCTGAAAAAATCACTTCTTCAAATGTTGCAGTGTGTGTGTGTGTGTGTGTGTGTGTGTGTGTGTGTGTGTGTGTAAGGTGAGGGGGAATTCACCTATTGAAAGACAATTCCACCGGTCTCTTAGTGCTTTAAACAGTGTAGAGAAAAGATTAATAGAATCGTTGTATCTAGGGTAAACATCAGAATGCATAGTTATTTTCCATAAGTACTTAGACTTTAAGAAATCATTGTGGAAAACAGTGATTGTTTTCTGTTATCTAGAGCGCTGTCTTTCTGAAGGAGCTTTACAGCCTTTGCATGACTTTGGTCACAATACAGTCCCGGCACACCTGGAGAATCTAGAATTATTGGGTACTGCAAACAGTACACAATAAGAGCTAAAGAGATGCTTTCCTTCAGAAGAACACGCAGATTAGATCAGGGGCTTTGGTATGAGGAACTTGTTTTACCCAAAAAGCATCTTTTGTGTAACAGTCAACTGATACGCCTTTGCATAGCTGTTCGAGGTTCAGTCCACCAGAGGCTGGACCTCCCTGCGGCAAAGAGCCTAAAATTTATCTTGGAATGCCCTTCTTTCTTTGATCGTCCGCACAATACAGAACACCCGACAAAACAGGACTCCTAAACCCTCGGAATAATCACCTCAATCCCAGAACCGCTGCTGAGGAGAGGAAATGAGCCTCCTGGGAGCTCTGTCTTACCTTGCAAAGTGAGGAGGAGCTCCCTAAACCCTTCCAGTGTTTCTTGAGCCAACTGCTGTCGCCTCAAAGACGGACGAGAATCCCCAGTCAGCTGCTGAAATTAGGAGGGGCCGCTGAGGGTCAGTCCTTCTCCCTCGTAGCCGAGACAAGGGTGGGACACATTTTCCAGTCACTTCTGGTTCTTTGGACAGAGATCAAGCTCTGCCCCTTCCCCCAGGCTTCGGGTGAAATCATTGCAAACCCGCTTTCTGGGATCTTGAGGATACAAGGCGAGGGTCCCAGAACCATCTTACCCTAGTCTGTCCAACGAGCCAGTCATTCTTTTCCCTCCACAGGTCCAGGCTACTAGAAGATGTTTGGGGGAGGGCTGGGAATATCTGGCTGCACATTGTCGCCGAGGCTGAGCCCCGTTACCCGAAGAGGTCTTCTGATGGGTGATGCTGGTCCCGCCGACGCCTTCACCCTAGCCGCGAGGAGGATGCCCGCTTCGGCGTCCCAGCCGGCCGGCCCTCGGTGGCCAGAAGCTCAACACGCTCTTCCCGCCGCCGCCCACCGCGGCTCTGGTTGGCCAGGCTGCAAAACTCTCGGCCACGGTTGGTTCTCTTCAAGAGTCGGTTCCCGCGGGAAACTGGAAAGAGACCCGGAACAAGGAGGTGGGAAGACAGGCCAGCCACAGGCCAGGGACAGACTGCTGGCCTTCGCGGGGGCCAGTAGTGAGACTAGGTTAGCGGGAGCGGGTGTTGGCACCAGAGTCTCTGGCTCCGCTCTGCCTTAGAACCAACGGCAGCCCGGGTTTTCCCCTCCGTGGCAGGCTGGCCCGCGCGGTGCCTGCTGGGGGTTGTAGTACTGTGGAGAGCGCCCCAGAAAGGATTTTCCCACCCCCGCCTCCACTCACTCCCCCATCCCCCTGCAAAAGGAAAATGTCTCCTAAAAGCTAGGGACAGGGGACTGAAGCCCTTAGTAATCTTCCCATCCTTTCTTTTTGAGCAAAAAGCCAGGGGAATCGGACATCCCTACGCAGAAAGAAAGAAAAGTACTTGGCTCAGTGTATGTGAACATCAATTCAAAACGATTCACAGAAGAAATACAAAAGCTCCAAATATAAAGCTTAGAAAACAAGAAAACACCTTCATGGGTTTAACAAGTTTTGGTTTTGCTTCGTTATTGTTATTTTTGAAGATTTGTTTTTGTTTTTTAATGTGTGTCTGTGTGGGTAGGTAGGTGAGGTGGCCAGAGGTGTCCAATGCCTTGTACCTGAGTTTAAGGCCTGAGCCGCCTGCCATGTGTACTGGGAATGAACTCGAACACAAGCCTGCAAGAGCACAATGTACTCTTAACCCGGAGCCTTCTGTCCAGCCCAATGTTATTTTTGAGAGAATCTCACTATGTAATCCTAGCTGGCCTGGTGCTGGCTTTGCAACCACCAACTAGTGGTAGTCCTCCTGCCTCAGTCTCTCAAGGGCTGGGATTACCAAATTCAAAGAAGCTGCCAGACTCAAAGTCCCACCTCACTACTTCCTGTGCATTTCTCTACCCATTTTCTGGGCTCCCTCTCAGTCTCTATGGCTACTTCCTGTCAACTAGTCGCTGGCTTCGCCTCTTGGCCCAAGGTTGATTTTATTTAATAAATGCAATCTTTGGGTTCACAGTGTGATCAAATATCCCTCAACACTCTGCCTTATTCCTTTAGGCCAGTGGTTTCTCAACCTGTGGATCTCGACAGGTGGGATGACTCATTCACAGGGAGCACCATCAGAAAACAGATATTTATTTACATTACGATTCATAACAGTAGCAAAACTACAGTTATGAAGTAGCAAAGAAATAATTTTATGGGGGGGGGTTTCACCACAACATGAGGAACTATATTAAATGGTTACAGCATTATGGAGGTTAAGAACCACTCATCTGGATAGTTTCTGATCCAGAATTTGGCTGTTTGGCTAGACTGCCATGGTTAGGAGGAGAGTGCTTATTGGGCACAGAGTTTGTTTGAGGGGATGAACTGTTCTGGAATTGATAGTTGTCATCGTTGCTGATTATATACTTATGACCATTGAACGCTACACTGTTTTTGGTCTTTTGAGAGTCATCTCACTCTGTAGCCCTGGGTGGCCTACAACTTGCTCTGACAACCCAGCGGCCTTTAACGTGTGGCAGCTATCCTGCTTCTGCCTCCTGTGTGCTGGGATTATATACTTTTTTTTTAGACTTATTTATTTAATGTATTTATGTGTCTTATGTACTGTCTACCTGCCAGAAGAGGGCATTAGATCCCATTATAGAAATGGTTGTGAACTGCCATGTGGTCCTTGGGAAGTGAACTTAGGACCTTTGGAAGAAGTACAGTCAGTACTCTTAACCACTGAGCCATCTCTCCAGCCTGAAATTTTATTTTCTTGACATTTTAATTTTCCTGGAGGTTTTGTTCTACTTATTGATTCGGTCACGGGGACTGTTCATGTGTGGAGGTCAGAGGACAACTTGTCAGTACCAGGGATCAAACTCAGTCTTTACCTGTTAAACCACCTCTCCACCACCCCCACCCCCACACACACCTTAAAAAAATACATACTTCCAAATGGTGAGTTTTGTAGTCATGATAATACATGCCTATAATGCTAGCACTCAGGGTGGTGAAGTAGGGGAATCAGGAGTTCCAGGCCATCATGGGTTATATAATGAGACTTTATTATTATTTTTTTAAAAGTTATTTTTACTGTCTTAATTTGTTTGTTTGGTGACAGGGTCTCACCAGATAGCCTTGGTTGGCCTGAAACTCACCTTGTAGCCCCAGGCTAGCCTGGAACTCAGAGAGACACTCTTGCCTGTCTCCTGGGTGCTAGGATTAAAGGTGTGTGTCACCACACCTGGCTTTATCTCAGCTTTTAAAAAGAATGAATAAACACTATGCTGAGAGACTTTGGTCACAAAGGATCAAGTGTTGGAGGAGTTCATTCCTAGGCAATGTCGAAATGCCCACAGCAGGCAGATATAGACGGAAAGCGGGTTAGCGAAGGGGGGTGTGGTGGCACATGGCTGCAGTTCCAGCACCTAGGAGGAAGAGACAGAGACAGGAGGATCCAGAGTTCAAAGCCAGCTTTAGCTAGGCAGGACCCTCGAGAAGCTGGAGAAAGTGCAAGGTACAATTTTCTTCTGAGTTGGACAAATTGTAGGGAAATTACTCAACTCTGTGAATATATTAAAAAAAACCACTGAATTTTATACTCCTAACAGATTTTTTCTTAAAATTGTGATTCAACTTGGCTGGTCTGAACTCACCACGTATAGTAAGTGGTCTCAAACTTTTTGAGATCTTCCTGTTACTGTCTCCCAAATGCTGGAGTCACACATTTTCCAAGCCAAGTTTCGGTTTCTTATTTCTAATCCACCTTACAAGCTAGTTAGGGACTTCCCCTTTGCATTATCAAGCCTGTTTCTGTCAGTGTAACCAAAGATCAATTTATTTGCCTCAAGTAATATATACTTTTTTCATCTGATCTAAACTAGGGTTTGATGGCCATTAACAATTTGAACATTTTTTGGCTGTCTACCACAGTAGTGAAGGCTTTTTTATTTTTCCTTTTTTTTCTTTTCTTTTCTGTGAATGCTTTTATCTCATAACTATTATTTAACTTTTCTCCTACTCACTAAGGCCCTGGATGTCCTATTGTTGATTTTTTCTTTTTAATTCAAACTTTTTGTTTTGTTTTTTTGAGACAGGGTTTCTCTGTGTAGCTGTGGTTGTTCTGGAACTCACACTGTAGACCAGGCTGGCCTCAAACTCACAGAGATCCTCCTGCCTCTGCCTCCCAAGTGCTGGGATTAAAGGTGTGCACCACCACTGCCAGTCACAGCAACTCTTCTTTTTTTTTTTTTTTCATTTTTATTTTTTTCTATTATTAGCTTGATACAGTACAAATTCTTATCCTAATAGTGAAATGTTTCACTGAGGCTTGTCCAGTGATTGAGTAAAACCAAAACTTATTATAAACCACAGTCATCCTAGGGTCCCCCCTGCTATGTAGCCTCCCTGGTTCTGTGGGATTCAGTCTGATTGTTCTTTGCTTTATATCTAGTATTTACTTTTTTTTTTTTTTTTAATTTATTACATATACAGTGTTCTGCCTGCATGTATCCCTGCAGACCAGAAGAGGGCACAAGATCTCATTACAGATGGTTGTGAGCCACCATGTGGTTGCTGGGATTTGAACTTAGGACCTCTGGAAGAACAGTCAGTGCTTCTAACCTCTGAGCCATCTCTCCAGCCCATGGCAACTCTTTTTTTTTTTTTTTTTTTTTTTTTTTGGTTTTTTGAGACAGGGTTTCTCTGCGTAGTTTTGCTCCTTTCCTGGAACTCACTTGGTAGCACAGGCTGGCCTCAAACTCACAGAGGTTCACCTGCCTCTGCCTCCCGAGTGCTGGGATTAAAGGCGTGCGCCACCACTGCCCAGCCCATGGCAACTCTTATAAAGAAAACATTTAATGGGGTGGCTCACAGTTTCAGAGGTTCAGTCCATTATCATCATGATGGGGAGCATGGCGGCATGCAGGTGATCATGATGCTGGAGCTGAGAGTGCTATATCTTGCAGACAATAGGAAGCCAACTGACTGTCACATTGAGGGAAGCTTGAGCAAAAGAGACCTCAAAAGACTTCCTCCAACAAGGCCACACCTCCTAACAGTGCCACTCCCTTTAGGGGCCATTTTTTTTTTCAAACCATGGCAGCCACTATACCTAGCTGTCCCAGTTTTAACATCTGTCCATCTGCCACACAACAGTCCATCTCCTCCTGATGGGAACACTCAAATGCAGTCCCAGTCCTTCTCTCCAGAGCCTCTTCTCAAGTCCACAAATGGACATTTTCAGGACAATCTCACACTTTAAACTTGACATATGAGTGGTGGAATAAGCAGAGGCACAGGATGGACATAAAAGAAAATCATTAGCCAGGCGTGGTGACACATACCTTTATTCTCAACACTGGCAGGCAGAGGCAGGTGAGTCTCTGTGAGTTCGAGGCCAGCCTAGTCTACATATTGAGTTACAAGCCGGCTAGAGCTACATAGTGAGATTGTTTTTAAAAAAGAAAAAAGAAGCATTACATTCATTCCATTTTGGCTCTAACTTGGAAATAATCAGTAGGCAAGTAGATGAGATAAAGGTAGCACGGGCTGAAAAACTAGAGAGAGGCTTCTACAGTTGTGAAGGGGAAAGGGTACCAGAGGAAGGAACAGTGCTGTTTAAGGCTGCAAGCACAGAAGTCTGTGCTTCCTGATTCTGCGCTTGTCTTCTCTGCTATCAGTTACAGCACAGAATGACCCAAACCAAACACCCAAGGAGGAAGGCAGGACCAAGGGGATAACCATGACATTCGGGAAGAAGTCAGAGAACCCAGACAGCTTCTTGCCAAGGAGCTCTCAGGTCCAGCAAGCCCCGCCTAAGATCACATATCTAATCGTGCTTGGTGAGAAGAGAGACTGACTTGGCCAGCTCCTCCACATCTTAGATACACACATTTACATTGCTATTTTATTCCACTTTGGTGACCGCCCCTGTAGCCCATCAGATGCATCCAAATAAGGAGTTGGGCTCAGGCTCCACGGTGATTCTGAATTATAAAACGATGAAGTCCTGTAAGCAGCCTCCGGTGACACAGTGGTAAGAGGTGTGTCTGAGTCTCTTGCAGAATATCCAGCACTAGTATAGGTCAGGCCAGATGATTCTCCAGCTCTCTCCATGGCCAGGTGCCAACATGCAGAGCCTGGGCTACCTCTGCTGAGCCAAAACTAGTCTTCGGAACCAGGAACTCACGGCACCATCCACTCGCATCACCAAAGCTATGCCCAGGAGAAGTCCCACACTGCTC